TTACTGCACAATTATAATACTGATTACATTTCACTTTCCAAGCTGCACATGTGCAACTAGATTGCTAAACTTGTCCACTTTTGGGGTTCTGAGGTGACAGAGGGGTGGCAGACCAGGGGCTCTGGAACCAATGGCCTTTCTGTACCTCTTGCCTGCCCTCAGTGCCAGGCAGCCACCCAGAGATGCTCACCTGAGGCCCTGCACCCGGCCTTCACCGAGGGCCCTCTGCAACCCAGGTCCTTCCCTTCCAGGCCTCTTCCACCGACCATCACATTTGATCTGTCCTACATTGCCTACCTGGGGGCTCTGCTAGATGTAAAAATTCAAGCAGCGAAATGAAGTCTCAGGGAGATGTAATGTTCACCATGCTTTAATGTGTTACCAATGATGTTTCAGACTCTTCATGCATCTCTTGATGATCAGTGGAGGAGTCATCAGCAGTGGACATGTGAGCTCTGTGTAGGCCTGAGACAGTGTTTGGCTCACTTGACCGAACTCACCCGTGAATTTGAAAAGCCCTTCTAAGGAGCAGTGGACTGGGGTTGGTAAATGGACACATGAAAGATGGATCGTATCGATGAAACTGGAAAAGCAGGATGCCATAAAGTAACTTGGGTGTGGAAGGTCATGTTCATCTTTTGTAAGTTGGCTACTTGCCACTGGCAGAAACTCCTGAATTAGTGGCTAAAGGTGGTGAGAATTATGAGGTCCAAGTGCTTATTAGTGTCACACGAGCAAAGCCCAGAAATGTAAAGCAACAAAATGAGCAGAATTTAGCAGAAAAAGGAGTTTTGAGGCTTGCTGAGGCACCTGACTCATCAAACTGCATTAGCCTCTGCTAATCCCTCAGGAGCCCTAGGGTGACACTCCCATGTTTGACATTCATGAATGTTCCTGGAACCCCCATAGCTGAGGAGCTGTCCCCTCTGGTGCTTGTGGCAGCTGCTGACCACTGAAGAGCACCTGTGGGTGTTGTAGATGTTTAACCTCCCACCGTATAAGGCTGGAAGCAGACCTACTGGAGGAGGAGTCTGTCCCATAATCAGATTGCTGAGCCATCTGGTGCTGCAGCTGACCTGGAAATGCATCCAGTGAATTTCAGCCCCGAGTTACAGCTGGTGTGGGGGAATCTCGAAGACAGGTGGTTCCCTTAACAGCTGTACCTCCGATTAGAGTAGGCAAGAAAGAACATTCCATCCTTCTTGAACCTTCATGGATCTTCTGGGATCTGTAGTAGCTCCCTGAACTTTTTCCATGGTAATTACCATATCAAGGCAAATAATGATATTTCTCCCTTCCTTTGTTGAAATAATCTCTGCGAGTCAGTGAATTGAAAATTTTAAGTGAGCTTATCAAGTAATATATGGATAAAAAAAAAAAGACTATGGTTTCTAGAGAGTACTCACAGAAGCAAGTCTTTAACAAATTTTTATGCTGGAAGTATACAGACTGAAGTTCCATCGGGGGAGAAATACAGATTGCTGCATTTAAGGGAACTATTTAAATTTGTAATTCTGTATTTACCCTGCAAATTTTAAGATAATTTAATCAAACACTGTTTTTATCAAGTGGATTGCTTTGCATGCTGAATGAAGTGCTAGACATTTTTAGCCCAAGAAAGATGAAATAACTTGACTTTTGACCTAAAAAATTTGTTCTGAATGAAACACTTTGCCTTTATGCTCATATAGTTTGGGGAGGATTTTAGGCAGACCTGGTTTTTATTCACTGACCTGGAAGTGATGAAGCTAAAGTAGCTAAGGTACAGAGGAAGTTAGATATTTTCCCAAGTCACTCAGGATCCAAATGTATGAAACCAAAGGGAAGAGCCTTGAGGTGATATTCCTAATTGTGTCATCTTCCCCATCACCCTCACCTTTCTGCACGTTGTTCACTGCATGATGGGTCCCAGTGGAGGTTGCAAGTCGGAGCAGAAACTCAGCCTGTGTGCTGCTCTCCAGGTCACGGGCTGTGCCCACCTGGAGCTGGGACACCTTCTTCAAAGGTGCCTAGTTGGGTGCTGAGGTGTTGGGTTGGGTCCAGTGAGTAGTGAGGGAAGCGTATCACCAATGTTATGCCAGGGCTTCTTCAATACATTGCAACCAGAACTAGAGCTGATCTTGGCAGCATTAAAAAACAAACAAAAAACAACAACAATAAAAGCCAGCAACCATTGTTTACATGGGCATGGAGTGAGAGTTAAGAGCTGTGCACAGTTTGGAGAGGACCAATATCATGAACACCTGGTTTCACCTTGTCAGTCAGACAGGCAGGAAAGGCCCCCGATTAAACTGGACAGAGTTTGAGATTTGAGGCATCCTCCCATCTCCCCTTCTGTACGTTAGGCTCCTCTCTCCATTTCCTTTTCCCCTTAGTCACCATCCTGCACTGCTCGGACCTCAGCTTCCAACGTGCCTTTTCTCAAAAACCATCTTCCATCCTAAGAACTTTGTTCAAGAGGAAAACACTTTAGCTAATTTATAATAAGATGTTAATAGCTAGGAATGGTGGAACATTACCACCCTCAAGGGCACCCTATTAATACTTAAAAAGAAATGATCTGTTCTTCCCAGTGCGTTTGGGGCAGTGGGAAATGGCCGGCATTCTGTTTGGTGTTTAAGGCAGTCCAGCTTGCTTTATTTCTGAGCTCACTGCTTACCGGACAGTGCTCTTCAGGTTGGCCAAGCATACTAGCTTCCTTCAGTTTCCATCATCTTTGCTCCTGTGCTTTTATCTTAGCATCATGTTTAGTTCTCCATTTCTAGCTCCTGTCACTTCTTTAGACAGATCTAAATGCTTCATTCTTAGGTCTGAGCATGGCCAGACTGGATTTGTTTTTCATCTTCCTTAACTTTCTCCTTCCCAGGCAAACTATCCTGTAACTTCTATCCCAGCCCTAATTTTTTTTTTAAGTTTCACACTTCCAAAACCCACCTGCTTGAAAGTATCGGATTCTGCCTCTTTCTGAAGCTTTGATTGTTGAAGGGAAAATTCAGAGCCTTCCCTCTTGCATCCTTATCTGGCATCTAACTCTGTAAGCCAGGACCGGGAGAGAACTTAATGAGAGACTGGTTGTTAGAAGCTTTCAGAAGGCAATGGTGGGACTTTCTCTGCTTTTCTTTCTATGCCAACCCTAGCAAAGTATAGCTGCTAGTTTTTCTTCTTAGGGCGATTACGATAGGTACTGGAAGCTGGGACTTGACTTTGCTGCATTATTATTCCTTGATCTACAGCCATTCCTATAGCTTTTCTTGGGTTTACCTAATGCCAGAGAAACAAAAACCACTCGTTAAATGGATTAGTCCAGTAAAAAATACACCATCAGGCAGCATGGCTAAATGAACTCTGGTCAGAGAAGTCCAAATAGCTGAAATGAAAGCTCATATAAATATGGTCAGTCTGTCCACTTGTGATTCTTTAAAGAAACCTCCTAATTTCCCATTTCTTCTGTCATGCCAGTGGTATATATTAAGAGTTTCATTTCTCTCAATGCCTGTATTTTTAAATGCCAGGAAGCTATGCTCATACTCTATTTTGTCCTCAAGGTAAAAGGTTTTGCATATTTAATCTCAATAGATTCCAATGAAATCAAACATATGACAGATTTCCAAATCTCTTTCCAAACGAGGAGGAGGCATCTTTCATGCATTTAGGGATGCTATCTGAACAGTATTGTACTTTTATTTCCCCCTCTGCCTTTGAATGAGTGGGGGTTTTTTTGAAAAATCAGAATGCCAGCTTAGCATTCTAAAGATGGCCAGTGGTGCCAGCTCCCTGCCCTCCAACTGTGCCTTTTTCCTTCTTGCTCTTATTTTTATCACACACACACACACACACACACACACACACACACACACAAATAGAACAACCAGTGTTGATGCCTAAGGGTCATGTATGTGTCTCTCCTGTTGCTTGCTGTCCTTGCCATCTCTGTCTGGCTCCGTGAATTAGGATCCTATAGTGAAGGGGGTAAAATACGTACTGTCTTCGTGACTGCCTCTTTCCACCTTTTTTTCCTCAGCCCAAAGACAGCCCACGTCAAAGGCACATCTTATTTCTTTAAATGTTTAGTTTTTGTCCACATCCTTTGTCTAAGCCTGGTTATGCTAAAAAACTGTGTGCTGATTAACAGATTGTTAACTGGAGTCTTTATCTGGTTTAACCAGATATGTTACCCAGTCTTTTTAGCTACATATTGAGGGAGGAATGTGCCATCCTTCACAGCACAGAAGGAATAGTCCAGGGCTCTGACGCTTTTTCTTTGGTGGAGAGAGCTGGCTGTGTGGAGGGTGGATGCCCACCTCTCCCAGAGGGGCATGCCTCCTGGACCCCATCAGCTCTGAGATAGGGAATCAAGAGGTTGCCACTCGATGTGCCACAGCCAGGTTTAATCCGTGGGATAGAGTGTGCAGACACCTGTTTGGGCATATGGCCAACTGTATTGGAACTTACTTGCTAACTGATTAAAATAGAGTCTATCATTCTGGTAAACAAATATTGAGTATGTCATGTACGGGACTTTGCATTATGTACTGTGGTGAAGATAAAATAGAGCATTATCGAGGCTTTTAAGAGGTTTATAATCCAGTTGTCTAAACCATTGAGTTTAGAAAGTGTTTTAAAAGTGTGATGTCCTAGAGATACCCTTTAAGGAAATCATAGTTAATATTTCTGCTATTGTTGTGATTAAACACTTTTCTTTGTACGGTCCTAGTACCAGTTCACCCCCCACCTCCAACCCTCATTTCCAAAGGGCTGTGTTTCAGGTGGCTGTGCACAGAGCTATGAATTTATCTCAACACAGGTGAAGCTAATAAATATGATTCAAGATGAAAGGCACTGTGTAAATGCTTGGGATGTTGTTATTACTGTTCTCTTGCACTTTATTATTTTTAAATTGTGCATCCTTTTAAGTAGATTATTTGTTCGCCACAGTCTTCATTATATCTAAGCAAAGCATTCACAAAAATTTCTAAAAACCTTTTCATTTCTCTCTGTAGGTTGTTGTTTCGTAACGTTTTATACAAGAAAAGCTGCACTTGAGGCCCAGAATGCACTGCACAATATTAAAACTTTACCTGGGGTGAGTCGGTTTACTTTTGTACCAAAATCACTTTATTGCTTGAAAATGGTCCTTTCAACTGAAGGTTCTTAGTTATAGGCTCTTAGTGCCAAAAATGACTTTGGTTTTTTGAGGAGTGTGTGCTGACCCCTCTGCTCCCCTGCGGCAGCCAAACCAGCTGGCCGGCCCATAAAGAAGTGCCCGCATTAATGCCAACGGAAAGAACTCTCAAACCATGTATCCCCTGGTTAGAAAATCAGAGTGACCCCACTGGGTCACAGCGGCTGCCAAAGGGTATTGGGTGGGCTAAGACTTTAAAAGGGAGGAAAAAAAACAGCTCACACAAGAGAAGCAAATGGAAAAGGAAAAGCTTTTACTCACCAGGAGCCCCTTTTCAAATTTAGTCTTCAGATTTTTCTTTTGAAAGAACAAAATGTACCCTGTACAGCTATAATATTAAACCTCATAATGGCTTCTAAGCAGTCAATGGTGGTTAACAAAGTCAATGTTTTAATGCCCTGTTTGCGGCTTTGTGTTGATAGGGAACAGAAAATACAAAGCTTACTTTTTTTTCCCATTACCTTCCCAATAATATCTGAGACGAGTACAATTCTCTAGAAATGAACTGATTTATATGACTACTTTATGAGACTATTACATGATTTCTGGAGTTTGGGGGCAATTTTATATAGTGCATGCTAATATGACTATTCCTATGCTGTTTGGATATGTCTCCCATTGATTCGTGCCAAGTTCATTGAATATCATAATGATGTGCATTGGTTATATGAAGAACCTGTGGTAAGTAATGTATTGCTAATTATTTTATTGAAACCTGCTTTGGTAAGAATAGAAGAAATGTAACAAAAATGCCGAATGCCCCTAATGTTTTCAGGGTGTAATTCTACCTTTGTGTCTCTTAGCTGTCTCTGTAGATGTACCTACCACACATCCGAATTTTATCCCCATCACACCCACAAGAGAGAGCATTTGTGTAATGCACCTTAGATCCATTGAAAAGCTTATGATATTTGTACTGGCAAGACTCAACAAAAGGTTTTCACAACATCAGCTCCTTAATCACTCAAAAATAATAAATTGTGACCCTTGGTCTTGAATCGCACCCCTTTGCTGTTGTTCCCCTTTTCTTGTGAGCAAATCAAAGAGAAGGTCCAGCAAACGAGCGTGTGGCCTGAGGATTCTCCCTCCCACTTTAATTAACTACTTCTCTCTGAAACTTATGAGGGGAATCTTAGTAGGTCTAAGTGACTTAAAATGGAAAGTAGTACTTCAGCTTCCATTTTCCATGTATATGGGATTTTTTTCCCCAATGTAAATTCGAGGAGGTTGCAGTGTTATGTCATAATAGTGCAACCAAATCCCTTCTATGCATGTGTTGTTGTTTTTTAAAAATGCTTGAAATGTTGAGTGGTCATTTGGCATTTAGAGTATATTGATGCCAAATCACATTCTATTTTAAATTAACGCAAACTTTGGTTAGTTTGCATTTGTCTCCATAGAAGCACAGCTCTCAATATGCCTTCTTCATGTATGAATGGGCTCTCAAGAAACCCAGAGTGAATATGGTGACTGAGCCATGTTGAAAAACACACAAGTGACCGATGAGCGTGCTTCTGTTTGGGACATCTTACTCTCTGACCCTTTTCTTAGCAAACCAATAGTATCTTCTGTATTTTAAAAGAATGGCACACATGTCTCCCTTTTTTTCTTTTCTTGAAACTACTGCATGCAGAAGTCAGGGATGGTGATTTTGGAGACCACTATTAAGGACAATGATTCTGGGGTTGGAAAACATGGTTTGTGGGTTGTTTTCGGTTTTTCTTTTTATCCTGTTCGGTTTCGTATGCCCAGTTACTTGAGGCGGGTTAAATGAAAATTTTGAGATGTCGGGTCTGATGTGTAGGCTCATAGCCTTCGCAGCACGCACACTGCCGCCACACTTGCCATTTCCAATTAGGTAAATGGGAACAGAGTTCCCCGGTCTTGCATTTAGTATAGCTTTACCTGATAAACATCACCCTTAACAGCTACAGGAAAAACATAAAAGCGGTTTCTTTTCAGCTGTGAGCTTTTGGTGGGCAGAAAGAAATGAGACCAGACATAAAAGATTAATGCGTATTCTTAGGGAAAAAATATTACAGGTTGTTTGATTACAAGCCTTGGAATTAGTCAACATTTCCATAATTCTAAACCAATACACACCTGTTTCCCCACTGCGATGTGAAGGCACAACTTAATTTAACAGAACCCCTGCTGTGCTCGGTCTCTCATTAAATACCTAAGAGCTCAGTAATTTAAAGTTGTACCACTACTATTTTTTACTGGTTGCCTTCCTATTATGAAATTAATAAGAAATTAATGATGCACTGTGCCATATGCCTTTAATATCTTTCCGAATAAAAATAAAAGGGATAAAGAAAAATGCATTACCAGCTGACACTTTAAAGCTTTCCTGCTGTAATCATTTTCCTGTGGATAAAATCCATTAAAAAGGCACTTGCTGTCTCCTTTTTTTTTTTTTTTTAGTGTCCAAAACATTCAATTTAAAACAAGATCAAAGGGTTCTAGCTGTTTAGGGTTTTTTGTTTTATAATTTTTTTTCTATTTTCTCTTGTAGTTGGTATTTTGTATCATATGGAACCTCTGTCATGCAACCAAAATTAGGTTTTTAGGAATCATCTTTCTTTTCTTGCTGAGAGAGAGACAAAGAACTTGGTTGCTATGGGAGAGGTGAAAAAAAGCCAGCGGGTCTGTGTGTCATGCAGTGAACTGTGTCTGCTCTTAGATTTATATATATAGACACCCTTCCCCTCATGTCATACATGTCTATAGAGACTCTGTACAAGGAGGGTGCAGGGCACATGGTACGGGTCAGGGCCGTACTCAGCAGTGCAAAGCCATTAGGGACCCATCTCTCAAGTCTGTCTTTTATCCTATGACTGAGAAGCTGAGCCTTACATCTTCTGAAATGTTCAACATGAATCCTAGAAATACAATATTAAAAATAAAGGGAGTAAATTCAGTAGCTCAACCCATAGAACAAGGAACGGGAGTCTGGGGATGTTCTCTTTCAGAAATGGCAGCTTGAAGTACGAGCAATAGATCAAATCTTATGTATAGTGCCCTACTTATGACTGACATTTCATCAGATTAACAAATCACTAATAATATTGAGTGCCTACTGTGTACTAAGGGGACTAAGCTATTCTGATCTCTCTCTCATGCACACAAACACACACGCACGCGCACACACATGCACACATACCCTTGAATTCCCTGAGCATCATGCTTCCATAGCCTGCAGAGCAGAGTGTAACTGTGTCTGCACAGGCCAAAGGCCTGGCTACTTGATGAGCCATTGAGTTTGATGCAAAATTGTTAGACTGACTCTTTCCTTACCTGGGCCATTTGTGTTCTTGAACCAAGTTGAGTTGCCTCAGCTTTGACAATAGGCCTTTGGCTTAGGGCTAGCTTCCTTTGTTTAGAGTTTCAGGTAGGCACAACATAACTAGTGGGATCAATCAATAGAAATGTCATCATCTGCCTTTGTATTTCCCAGAGAGAAATCCTTGGAAAGGCAACTTGCAAAAATCGTTTTGTTTATACTGACCTAATTTAGCTTAATTAAAAAATAAAATGAAGACCTTAATTGCAGCACAGAGCAACTACCACAATCTTTTCAATAATCAGATGTCAGGGCCAGATATCCCTGTGCCAGGGACGGCTCTGCGCCTGTGTCATTCTTTTTCAAGGTCCTAAAACACATTGTCTCTAGCAATAAGGCGTTTTGATTGAAAATCTACAGCAGTATCATTAGAGCATTCACTGTATAAATTAATTTAATTAAGGATGTAATAACAGAGAGGAATACAGTTTTGAAAAAGCTCTTAAATTTTAACAGCAAGAAGGAATTGGTGGAATCTAAATGTCTTGTAAAATATTAATTGCAAATTTCTTCCAGACATTTTCTCTGAATATGCCTTATTCCGTTCCCTCTTAGAGTCACTACCAGTTTTATTAAATGCAGTTTATATTAAGGAGTTATTGCCGTAGGAGAACATGTGTTTGGAGCACTCCATTTGGGCGGTGGCATACCAAAAGGTGTTCTATAATAACACATGAGACATGAGCACCAACTGAAAATAGATTTGAGATATAAAAACAAATGAGCCTGATCCAGGGGAAGAAGCTGTAAATAAAATGGCCTCTTGGGACAAGTGTGTTCATCCACACAACGTGAATGAACCTCTTCCTGGCTTGCCCTGGAAGAGATGATTTACCTGTGGGAGTGGGCGCTTTCCTCCCAAGAGGACTTTAACTCCACTCCCCATAGAATTGTCCCCTGTGCCCTTCAACGGGCTTGACTATCCTTTCACCAGGAGACCAAAGTCAGTATCTACAGTAATGCATTTTGACATTGTCACTTACTTTGAGTCATCTCTTCTAATTATTAATATGTATTTAATGACATTATTCTCAGAGTCATGATGGTATTATTTTATCATTATCATTGTCTTCTATTTCTGTCATTAGATCTCTAAAACCTCATGTCATCATTATCATGGAAATTTCCCCCAAAAGCATCCTATTTGAATCAAAGCCTAACTAGGTCAAGCTAGAGAAAGTGTTTTCTCAGATGCTTTTTATTTAAAACTAGAAGCCCAGTGCATGAAATCACGCAGCCCCACCCACCAACACACCTTGCCATGCTTACAGCCCCGCCCAACCACATGTGCCCTGCCCACCCACCCACTGCCCCACCACGCTGCTGCCCCAGGATCTCAGAGTTCCTCCTGCTGCTGCCACCACTATGGGACCCAGAGTCCCTCCTGCCACTATTGATGGGACTCATCAATGCAACTCCTGGTGACCAGTTTTTTGTTTGTTATGGAGTTACAGCATTACAGCCACAGGCTTTTTATAATATAGATTGTTATGAAAAACAGCCAAAACATTTCTCTGGACAAACAGGTTTAAGTCCTTAAAATCATGGACCATCT